GCCCTCCCCAGCCCCCTGTCGCCTTGGACCCGGGGCGTCAAATGTTCTGTGTTAAAGGAATTAACAAAGCATGTATGGGGGGTGCAGGTAAATAATGAAACTTCTTAAAATTGAAAACAACACAGTCGCGGGGCACCCACTGGAGGGACCAGAGCGGAGCCCCTCCCGGGCGTAACTCCCACCCTCGTCCCTCACCGGCCGGGCGCACAGACTTGACTCCTGTCGGCCTGATGGGCTGCGTTTGCAAGTCAGGGCTCACGGGCCCCTCCACGAGGATGCCGGAGAGTCCGGGCTTCCGTCGGCCGCGGAGGCCGCTGCTCGGGGCGACACCCGACCCCCAGCCTCGCCCCGCCTCTCCCTGTGGCTCAGTGACTTCCTTTCCGAGACGGGGGCGGTGCTCATAGAGCACACCTGGCAGCCGTGTTCGAGTGAGTGAGAGCAGGTGCGTGAAGTCCGCACCTGGACCACAGCCACGGGGCGCCCACCCGAGCCAGGAGTCTCAGAGTCTCTGCCCAGCTGACTGGCTGGCTGGGTTGCCTGTGTGAATTCCTGTGTTCCCATCCACATCCACCTCCGCCTCCACCGCCGCAGGCGGGCACCCCGCCCCCAGGGGACGCACCGAGCGGCCCCGGGTGGGCGGCTGCCCTCTGACCCCGTGTGTGAGCAGCTCACAGCCTCCCCGTGGGAGGCCGAGGGAGGCCGGCACGCCCTCCGCCCAGCGCCCTGGACCCGAGCCTCCCCCCCCCTTCGCCTGCCCTCCGTCCCAGGCGGTCGGTCTTTGGTGGGAGCCGGGAGCTCCTCGAAGGGGAGGCAGGAGCGCCTGGCAGCTGGGCGAAGGGGGCCCGCGCACCCGCATTCACTCCCGTCGTCGCCGTCGGCCACGTTAGACTCAGCCCCAGAGAGGCAGCTGCGTCGCGACGAACCGCAGCGAAGCCTGCAGGGTTCCAGGCGCAGTCAGCGAGCCTGCGGTGCGCCTGCCCGATGGGGACGGGGACAGGAGAAGTGGGGGAACCGCCCATGTCCTCCTGCCAGGATGCACCGGAGGTGGGAAGGGGCTTGTCCTGTTCCCGGACGGGGAGGTCAGGGTCGCTGGAGTGCACTGGGCCGGGGCCGGCTGTGCGCGGCGGCAGAGTAAGGGCGCAGAGGCCGGCGTGGGGCGCCCGGAGGGACGGCGCGGGGTCCCACCGGGGTTCTCAGGGGCCACATCTGTGGCTCATGGGGCCTGGCAGGAGGCCACTGTGGTGGCCTGGGGGCAGGGTGTCTGGGGACAGGCGGTGGCCCTGTGGGTAGAGAAGAGACACGCTGGCGTCCTACCCATGGGGACCTTGGAGTGGCTGTGCCCAGCCCAGGCCCTGCTGGGTCGGCTCCTCGGGGACGCTGCCCAGTCTGCGCCACGGCCCACAGGCCTGTGTGGGGACCAGGTGGGGGCTGCAGCCAGCAGCTCTCTGTGGGGGGCGGCGCTCGGCTCTGGGAAGCTCAGAAGTGCAGGTGGAGGTTGAGCACCCTCAGACACCACCCACTGGAGACCCCAGGGCCGCCCGTGGAGCAAGCCAGCCGGGGACTGACAGCCCATCCGCACGGGGGCTCGAGGGGCCCTGAGCTTGGATCACGCAGGGTGACTCCATCCCGAGAAAGTGTCCCCGACGCTGGAGAGGCCCCCTCCAAACAGAGCAGGAGGGCCCTCTCCCCACACGGGGGCTCTTAAAACCCCCCCAGAAATGGCCTTTTCTGCTGCGGAAACAGCGCCCGGCCACGAGCCAGGAGGAGGAGGATGCAGTCAGAGGGGAAGGCGGCGGGAGGCTGGCAGGGCGCCGGCGGCACAGGCTCCGGGGGTTAGACGCAAACAGCGGGATGAGGAAAACCTAACTTTAAAACTTGCTCTGTAATCATGGTGCAAACCCTCCGAGAGCCGGGGCCCAGGCCAGCGCTGGGGGTGGGATGGGCTCTGCAGGGGCCGACGCCGCCCAGAGGCCGTGGCCTTGAGACTCATCGGGTGACACGGGGCCTCGTCGCAGGCCCTCCTGCCCCGCCTCCCGGCACTGCCCTGCGCCCCTCGCCCCCGGAGGCCAGCTTCTCTCCATCCTCTCCCCTCTCGAGCTCCCGTCCCGGCTCTTATTCCCAGCTCCTTCCTGGAGGAGTTTGGGGACCGAGAGGCATGGGTGCTGTGTTTGCCAAGTCGGGGCCGCTCGGAGCAGGAGGCCGCCGGCACGCAGGCACGGGGCTCTCCTCGGCCTGGACCTCGGGGGCGGAGCTCCTCTGACAGCTCTGCTTCCGTGGGGGACGTCCCCGCCCTCCCAGTGCAGTTACACGGCCGCCCCCGGGGCCCAGGGCGCGCGCCCAGGTGGAGGGGACCGCCCCTGGGAAGACAGACAGGCCTGCACGGGCCCTGCAGGCGAGTGTGAGGCCCTTTGGGTGAAAATGCTGAGCTGCGACACCCAGAGTGTGCCCTGGAAAGAGGGTCACCGGTCCCTTAGCCCCTAGAACCCTCGCTCAAGCGGAAGGGCACAGCCAGAGGACACTGAGCGGGTGTTCCAGGCCCTTTACAGTGTAGGGCTCCTGTCCCAGGGCCCGGGCGCAGTGCCACCGTGGATTGCTAGGCCTCCCCGGCAGCCCCATGGGCCCTCCCTGTGTGGTCCCCCCAACTCCCACCGCACGCTCCCTTGGCCCCCGCCCACCCGCTGCGCCCGTCCCCACGATGGCCACAGGGCTCCCGGGGGGGGGGGGGCGAGCGGGGCTCTTCAGAGCGGCGGCTGTGCCCTGGAGGGCACGGACCTGTCCGGGTGGCACCTGGGCCTCACCCAGGGACCACTTGAATGAAAAGCTTCACACGAGCTTGTTTGGGATTCGCCGCCCCGAACACAGAGCTGCAGGGAGCTGGAAGGAGCGATGCTCTTGTTATCAGCTCCAGTGGCGAGCCCGTCAGCCTTGCGCGCAGGGCTACGGCTGGCTGTCCGGGCGCCGGCGCTGGGCGGGGCCGGCGAGCAGCGGGCTGGCGGAGGAGGGGCACGAGACGGCGAGGCGCGGCTTCCCAGGGCCCTGCTCGCGCCGGCACTTCGCCTGGCCCCTGCGGTAGGTCGGAGGTGGGAGGAGGACCCCGCTGTCCTCGCCCCGCTTCACATGGGAGGAGCTGCTTTTCCTCAGGTGAACGTTGCCGGGGCCGCAGGCGGAAGGCTCCGGGGCTCTCACTTCCTTCTCTGCCTGACCCTCCCCATCCCTGGTCCTCACCGAAGGTCTCTCATGCGCCTTGTGCCGCACACTGTGCTAAGCGCTTCCCCTTCACGGTCTCCTTTACCTCTCCCCCAAGCCCACAGTAACTCAGTCATTCACTCCTGTTTGTGTGTGGCGTGGCTGCCCCCCCTTAAGCACGCATAGCTCTGTGTCGGGGTGCCACGCGAATAACAGGTCCTAAGTGAACAGAAGATGCTAGTGTTTAAGATGAGTGTGACACTGGTAAAGCGCTTTGTCACAAGCAAGCTGCCAAGCCAGAGGTAATATGCGCGGAAATGATTCAAGTCAAGTATTAACTCATTCTTTTGATGGAGGTTTATTAAGATCCACTACATGCCAGTAATGTGCTAGACACCGATGATTCAAAAATAAGTCGCAGTCCCAAGCCGCAAGGCAGTCATAATCTAATGAGGAAGACACAAAAGCAAGCCATTGGAGCCTGGGGCCCGTGGAGACCTGGACACCAAGCAGGAGCACCAAGGAGAGGGCTCCCTGGAGGTGGTGACAGGCAGTGGTTGTCAGAGGATGAGCAAAGCTGTGGGAGGGGAAAGAGCAGGGCTTGAGTGAGGTGGGGTGGACGGGAGGGGGCGGGGCCAGCGTTGGAGGCCTCGCTTATGGGGCAAAATTCACTGGATGTGGTGAAGCAGCAGATGTGGCAGAGTCTGGGGCAGGCACAGAAAGCGCCAACCATGACCCTCGCTTCCGGCCTGGAAGACGGTGAGCACGGGGCCGCCCCTGCAGCAGGAACGGGGGAAGGGCCAGCTTTACGGCGGGCGAGGCGAGCTTGGTTTGGCCCGTCCGCAGCGGGGAGGGCCTGCATCCCCTCACGTGTACAGTGGGAGTAAAAATCCATTTATCTTGCAGTGTATTTGGAAGGTTACCTGAGAAAACATAAAGTACTTAACAGCGGTTGGAATAGAGCCGGCGGCGGCGGCGGTAGCGGCGGTGGCCACAAGCCCATGGCAGTAGGGAGAGACGCGGGCTGAGAGCTGGGCCCATGTCCTCCTCCCTCCTTCCATACAAGGCCCGGGGAAGCCGAGAGGAGTAGGTTGCAAAATGCCCAGATGGCAAGTTCGCCAAACTAAGCCCCGAGACTCCCTGGCTGGACCCGAGGTCAGCGGGACACCAGGCCGCGGGGGGCGTGTCTGCCAGCCTGCAGCACGGCCTCCTGCTGAGCTGGTGCCGAGGGCGACCCTCATCGCGTTCTGCTGCCCATTTCTGTGCCTGTGTTTTCTGAGGTTGAGTTGGCCAGTGACTGTGGCGTAAACCTTCTTTGTTGAGTGGAGATTCTACTTTGATTTCCTAGGAACTAGTATAGTCTTTAACTTGGCCTCCACTTGCCCTTTTACATCTGATGGTTTCTTCCAACCCTAACCGCCGCCTCTTCCAACAGACAAGCCTTGCGCACACTCCTACCTCCCAAGAAAGTGAGTTTTGCAATGGAATGTACCTGAACACTTGGGTAGATTCCCCATCCCAGCCGATGTCTTCTTGTGGGTCTCACAAATGCCTGTTTGAGTTTCCTGCTTCCAGTTGGACCAGCCATGGTTTTAGTTAACTTGCTTAGATGCTGCTTTTGTTTGTCCATTTTTGTTCTGATTTGTCCCTCTTTAATCCCGAAACAGCACAGCACAGAACTTCCTGGCCTGAATTCCCCTCTGACCCTCCCGTTTTGCCCAGGCGTCTGTGTTAGGAGGTGGCGGGCACCGCTCCAGCTCTTGAAAAATTCACTCAGCCTCTCCTTCTCTTGTGCATCTCTTCTGCTTCGCCAGGTCAAGCTGGGAGCTGCCCGACCTGAGGGAAGGGAGAGCGAAAGCCATCAGCGACTCGGACGGCGTGAGCTACCCCTGGTACGGCAACACCACAGAGACGGTGACCCTGGTCGGCCCCACCAACAAGGTCTCCAGGTTCTCCGTCAGCATGAACGACAACTTCTACCCGAGTGTGACGTGGGCGGTGCCGGTGAGCGACAGCAACGTGCCGCTGCTCACCAGGATCAAGAGGGACCAGAGTTTCACTACCTGGCTGGTGGCCATGAACACCACCACGAAGGAGAAGATCATCCTGCAGACCATTAAGTGGAGGATGAGGGTGGACATCGAGGTGGACCCTCTGCAGCTCCTGGGGCAGCGGGCCCGGCTGGTGGGCAGGACTCAGCAGGAGCAGCCCCGGATCCTTAGCCGGATGGAGCCCATCCCCCCCAATGCACTGGTGAAGCCCAACGCCAACGACGCTCAGGTCCTCATGTGGAGGCCCAAGCGGGGGCCGCCTCTGGTTGTGATCCCTCCCAAGTAGAGGCCGGCTGGCCTGCCTGTGGAGCCGTGGGGACACGCAGCGAGGTTGCCCGGGATGGCGGGAGCCAGACTGAGTTTCTGAGCCAAAGCAGACCTCTTGGTTTGCCAGCCCTGGCAGCCGCCCGCAAAGAGCAGGGCTGCTCCTTGGGTGGTAGAACCGTTCTCTTTAAGGAAAGCCCCTCCCTCTTAGGAATAAAGAGATCCCTGGTTTGACAGACTTGCGGTGGTTACCCTGCAAGTCGCCATACTTTGGGGCTGACCGGGATGATTCTTTCATTCGAACTGTGACCATTTCTCTCCTGTGAGATGCAGGGGGTGGAAACTACATTAAACAGTGCCTGTGGCAAACGCCGCTGCTGCCCTGCCCATTAGATGTGGGAGCGGAAACGCCCGCCCCAGGCGCGTGCGACACAGACAGCGCCGCTGTCCCCCGGGAGGCTGCAGGGGGCAGGGGTGGCCTGAGCCGGGTGGTGTGGAGCCGGGAAGGCGGGGAGAGGAAGCGTAAGTTATTATTACGAGTTAAGTATTGTGCATTTATTAGTTGATTATCAGATCATCAGTATACTCACTGGAACGCAAGGGTCCCGCTGAAAGCCGCAGGCACAGCGAGCCTCGCAGGGCGCCCGGGAGCTGTCCGCGGTGCTGACGCGAACTAACGGGTGGCGACTCTCGCTGGTTCCATCTACCTACCTCTTTCCGAAAAGGGATGCCTCAGAGCATCCTTGACCGCAGCGTTTGGGTCGATCGCGCCTGTGTCCTGCAGTCACTAGGGCATTTGGGGCCTTCATCATGTTTTTAGTGGAGCCCGATTTGTGGATTTTGTTTACAGCTGCTTATTCTGTCCCCGTTACCGGCCCTAAATTTAGGAAAAGATACCATGTATAAGCCATGAATCCATGTAGGGCATCACAAACGTTTCCACAAATAAGAGTATCATTTTCGCTTTTTGTTCGTTGGTGATTTTAGTTTCTCGTGGTGTGGACGCGCAGCATGCGCGCCGGGGTCTGGGTAGCGTGACAACGAGCAGATCCGCCCAAGTCCTTGCTGTGTGCACGTAGCTGAGGTGCGCGCCCAGAGTGTACACGGTGTCCTGTGTGTGCTTGCTTTCACTCAGTCTCACAGAAGCTCAACGTTAACTCCCTGGGCCTGTGTGAGGACCGGCTCCGTAGCCTTAACTGCCGAGTTCTTGGATGAAGATCGGAGCTCCTCGTGTGAAGCAAGCCTGTGTGGTTGACGGCCGACTGATAAAAATGAAAACTGCTATTTCCTGTGGTCAGGCCGATATCACATTTTTTAAAGAGTTTCTGATTTGTACACTAAGGATTATTCCAGCTCTTTTGGCTTCTATCACCCCCAAAAGAGCTTCCCCCTTTATCCTCAGTCATGCAAACGGTGATATATAAATAAGGTGCCTTTTCAAACCCTCTCCCCATGCTAAGTAATTGTAAAACTCTCACAGCATCACTGTGGATTTTAGGGATGGACACACCAGGCTAATTTCAGAGTTGAGTGAGCTGAGGTTCAGAGCGATTGTCACGGTCCTGCGGCTGGCTCCAAAGATGTGTCTTCTACCAGAGTTGAGGCTGGAGCAGGGACAGCAAGAGGACTTTTTATTACTTTTATTAAAAATGCAGATGAATTTCTTTCAGGCTCTAGTCCCAGGGGATGGTGCTTATTTACGTGAGAGGGTTAACAGGTCCATTCCAAATTATGTAGTGTGAACCTCACGCCCCATAGATTAGTTACTGATGGCAAGCCGAGCTATTTATAACAGCACGTTAACGACACATCAGTGACTTGTGAAAGACCAGAGACATTTCATTAAGAAATGATCCAGCTGTTATGTTGGGATTCCTCTGTCCCTTCCTGTGCTACGTTGGGTTTTGTGTTGTTTTGTTTCGTTTACGGGAGCGGTAGCCCCGAAGAGTGCCAGGGCCGAAATACCAAGTGGCTGGTCGTCCATCCACCCTGAGCATCGGAAACAACAGCGTCTCCCTTTGACCGAACTGGGTGCTGCCGTGACGGGGGGAGTGGGTGCCGATCCTGGAACCCTATCCATGTGGCCTCCCTTTAAGAACACCTGATATTTAAAAATCCAAAACTGTAAAAGAAAAGACAAACCCCACAACAAATGAATGAGAAAGGATCACTTATATTATAAAATCCGATACAAGACTTCTGTTTTCACCTCCCCTTGCCCATTAAAGTGAGATGTGAAGCACACAACTGTTTTCACATACAACTTTGTCAAGGGCACATCTGTATTTACAAAGCAACGTGCCACATAGTCAGACTTGTTCCTGCTGAAAATGCACAATTTTCAGAATTTTAAAAGAAACGACCCCAGGCCAGTTTTCTGGAAAATTATGTAGCAACGCAATGTGCTTAAGAAAGATAAAGTCCCCGTATAGAAGAGCTGGGGTCGGTGTCACTGACACTGTTGCGGACTCAGCTCCGGGGCTTCTCACGCCCGAAGCCCCTGGCGGGGGCACCCAGGGCCTGGCACCAGTGATTTGAGAGTCATCGCCGTTGTACGAGAAAACGACCCCTTCCCTGCGTGGCCTCCGACCACCGCCTCTCGGCTCAGCCGGGACGTCACCAGGTGAAAGGCGCTCCAGCCAGAGCGAACTCGCCCCGGGGCCCCGCCCTCCTCCGGCCTTGGTCCCCGGAGCTCCGGGTCACGGGGCCTCGTGCGGTGCCTGCCTCGACTGGGCTTTGGTTGGACGGCCGTAGGGTTACATTTGGGTTCCGCACGCGGACACGCAAGCACATGCCAAGTCTGGCAAAAAGCATTTCTTCACAGTGCAGAGTCTTAAACACACGTCACCTCTGAGACCTCTTGTCCCATGGTCCCAAGGAAATAGAGGCCCAGTGAAACGAGCTCCTCTACGGAGGGCCACACCCCAACTAAGCGCAGAGCCCGGGGAGAGCCTGCGTCTCCCACATCCTGCCTCAGCGCACGGCCACCCTCACAGTCCTCTCTTTGCTGTCAGCCAAACGTGGTCGCCAACCCCGAACCACTGCCCTCTTAGCCCTAGCGACAGCTAGGTCCATCCACCCTTTAAAGAACTGAGGGAGGGCTTGTTACAACTATGTCAAAAAAGAATATTCCCTATTCCCCTTGACCTGTGACAGCTGTTTTGAGACTGAGCCCTTCCTAGCCTGGGCCCCGTGCGGCATGCGTTTGACACCCCCGGGTCCTGAGGAGGCTGGACGTGGGTCCCTCCCCAGCCCCAGCAGGGGGGTGACTCCCTGTCCCAGTGCCAGGAACGGTGTCTCACAGGTCAAAACCGTGCTCTAAGCCGCGATCCTGGGCACTCAAATCAAAGTGCTATGGTTTGTTTCACAGAAGGCTTTACATGCATTTTCTCACCGCCCGGGGGGTCTTGGAGGAGAGTAACATTGTAACTGTTGCCCCCACATCACCAACGCCACATGGAGCTACAGAGAGGTTAAGTGACCTGTTCATGGACACAGGCAGAAAATGTCAGGACTGGGGGTCTAGCTGGGCCACGTGGCCCCAAGGCCCTGTCCTCCCAGGTCCTGCGCTGCCCCCGGAGGCTCCCAGCCGGGAGGGCACGGAAGAGGGGAAGCGAAGGAGAAAGCAGCCTCCGGTGCCCCCACAGTCGCGCGGCCCTCCCCGTCTTCCAGGTGAGCATATCAGAAGCGAGAGCAGGGACGCTGTTTTCTTAGAAACCGTGGGGTCCCTGGGGGCTGGCCCGGAAGAACGCCTGGCTCTTGGGGCTCGCAGCGCCATGCTGGGGACGAGCAGGGAGTGGTCTGCTCTGCGGGTCCCGTGTCCCAGGAGCACGGTGAGCTCAGGAGGCGGCGGCCGCCCACCAAGGCCGAGGTCCCCGCTGAGGAGGCCGGGCCCTGCCATCCCTCTTCACGGCAGGGCAGCCCGCGGGCGGAGGCAGCGCCCCACGGTGGCCTCCCGAGCCCGGCCGGCTGGCACACCAAACGCTCTCGTTAGAACCCAGGGCACAAGCGAACGCTGCCAGGGCTGGCATCCAGCTGAGCGGCCAAGAAAGACGTAAACGGGCACATGTGGACCCACCATGCTCACATCCTCTTCAAGCTGAAAGGGAAATTAACCCGAGACCCAGCGCAGGCCCGAGCTCCATAATTAAGCCTGAGCGATCCTTAGATAGAAAGGGAGCTGAGCGGGCGAGCACAGTGCGCGTGGATATTTTTGCCTGTGTCTCGGTGCCATTCATTTCTCGGGGGACCTGAGTACATCTGGTCCCAGCCTCCCTGCTGAGACATCTGCCTGCGGAGGCGCTGCCAGGACTCGCCAGCTCCGTGGCCGGAGGACTGCCAAGGCCGCCAGGCCGTTCTCCAGCGCCTCACGGGAGCGGGTGCCTCTGCGGAGACAGGGGCGCCGGCCCCCATGGCGGCCCCTCGCTGACCTCAGGCCCCCTGACAACGCCTCTGCCGTGCGCAGTGCCGTGCGGGTCATGGAGGGTCTCTGCGTAGTTTAGTAACAAACGTCTCCGCTCCAGAGAGCGAATCGTGGGGCTGGCCTCGTCTTTCTGGCCGTGTATGAATATGGGTCGCTCCCGGGGCTGGTGTGTCGGTGTGCCGGGTGCAGACACGCACGTTGTCACGTGACTCTCAGCAGTCCTGTAAGATCTGCTGCCTCCCCCCGTTTCATAGGTGAGGGGTTTGAGGGGTCAAGTGACCTGTCCAAGGTCACACTAGTCTGAGGGGCTCTGAGGACTGGGGCTCCATCGTCCCTCTCCACACCGTTCCTCCATCCTCATGGAACATTCTCCCCCCAGCCGGTTAGCCGCAGTGCCCTCTCGGCTCGGCTGGCCACTGCGGTCCCTCGGCACGGCGGGCTGACAGGCAGCTTCTGTGGGCTCTGCCCTCACTGACCCCTGCACGTGACCTCACGGGCAGCGTAAGGTCTCTAAGGAGTCTGGGCTGGGTGCCCCCGGGCGGGTGCCCCCTGCTGGTTTCTCCCCTAACCCATGGGGCGGGGCGGGGTGGGGAGTTGGGGGAGGCCCAGTGGGGTTCTCCGAGGTCGGAGCCCAGCACCGAGGACCTCAGCTCGCCTTGAAGTTATCTGGACCCAGCTGGTGCGCTAGACCTTGAGCAAATCACTTCATTCTGAGCCTCTGACCCAGAGGTTTTCTCCTTTCTTAACTGAGCCACGAATACAGCCCAGCCCAC